CTGGGATCAACCTATTTAACAGGCACAAATCTGCGGCCAAAAATGGTCACAAAGAACACTCTGCTGGGCTCAGGAATGATGGTCATCAGGGTAGGCCCTGGGACCTACACCAGGGGCATCTGATGGCTACACCTGTGTGAATCCCAGAGTGTACTCTAAATACCAGCTCCTTCCACACAGCCATCCCGTAACCAGAACTGCAAATGTGACTGCAATATCATTTGCCAAATTCAGAAGCTCTCCTGGAAGAACAAAATACCAGTGACTTGATCCAAGACAAAGCTTGCACCAATTTAGTGAAGCACAAATTGAAACTGAATCAAATCCTGATCATTTTCTCTTTCATGTTTTTAAAGCAAGTCAAGAAAATATCTCAATTTTCCATCTAAAAATGGTTTAATTCAAATGACATTTTATTAAAATACTAAAATGTTCAGGAAAATAACAGCTCTCAGTGACAGACAGTGACAGTCCAGGATATAGTGACAGTCCAGGCAGTGCCAGCCCTACATGCAGACTGTATCTAGCATTTGCTGCAAGGCAAGTGTCTGCTCAGCTAGTGGAGGGGTGGGGATGAGGGAGGGAAGGTGCACAGGGAGAAAAGGGCAGGCTGCACCAGCCTTGTGAGGATGGGAGTCAAGGGAGGTGCTCAGTCTGCCAAGCAGCAAGGATGACCCAGCAATAGACCCAGTGACTTTGCTGCTTAGCTCTAGCCTAAGGCAGAAGATCAGGGCACGGAAAATTAATGTCACAAAGAAGTCTCAAAGGAGGTTTGAGGTGAGGAGTGAGGGAGAGGAAAAGAAGTAAAAGACGCACTTTCCCCCACTCCATGCTACTTCTCCCTCCCCATTTCCTTTTCTTCCCCTCTAAGTCGCCTCTATCACCTCCACTAAGGTATCTAAAGTTGTTAAAGCTTTTAGAGATTTTTAGCACCATGCTGTCCATTCACCCTCATCACTACCTTATAAAAGATTTAGTAAATTAGTTTGAGCTAGTACTAACACACACCAAAAAAATTCCCTATTACCCCTACAAAGCCCTATAACTTTTATAAAGCAATTGAATTAAAATATAAAATATTTATAAGCTGAATGAATCTGATATTACATGTGGTTCAACCTTCTCACTCCACCATGGAAAATCTGCAATTATTCATTTCAAAATAGATTTAGGTGAGCAACAGATTGCTGAATTATTATGGGTAGTATTCACATTCATTAATAGCTCACTCTCCATTTACACAGCTCACATTTTTACCTGAAACTTAAAAGTTGTTTGTCACAAGAAATAAATGAAAACCAGATATGCATATAATTATATGACCCAGATTTGAGGTTCAAAGAAAATTTTCATGAGGTTATATTCTTGGGATAAAAAAACAGGAGATAACAGTGAGTCATTTTCATTGTTTTGTAACTTACTACAAACATATTTCCAAGGGTTCTACTTTCTCACACCATCTTTCCTTTAAAAAGCTTTTAAAAATGCCTACATGGAAACAAATTAGATGTTACATAAAGGCAGAAAATACTCAGTAAAACACAACACCAATGTGAGGCAATCTTTTAGCTCTTCATGAATTAAAGAAAAGCTGGTGTTAGTTTTAATATCGAGCTGGAGGGAGATCTCTTAGCTGGAAAATTTTAAAAACAGAAATAGGAAATAATGCAATAGGAAAAAAATTCAAACTGGGAACCACCAGGATTGGAGCATAAGTCTTCAGGAAAGAGAGTAAGAAATGATGTTGAAATTTTAAATCATTTTAAATATGAGAAAGTATTTCGTGTATGTTTTTCCTGGGCATACTGCTAAAATAAAATCCCACACAGTAAACTAAAAAAATTAAAATAAACATTGAAGAAAAATATTACCTAAGAAATCTGACTACTCATAAGTATGAGGAATATAAGTCACTTAAGTCAACAATACTTGGCTTTGTTCCTATCCTAATAGCACTGTCCTAGCTGCCTTAAATATTTTCTAGAACAATGAAGGGTATAAATAAATAATTTCATAAATAAATAAACAGAAAGATAGCTTCCTCCTGCTAAATGCTAAAGACAAAAGTCACAGATTAAATTATGAACAAGGAAACTTCCAAGGACGTTTTGGATAATTTAACCTCATTTTTATTGGTTTAGGGTAAAATGTACTGCAAGCTCTAGGCTGCGGCACAGAAGTACTTAAACTTGTACTTGTTAAACTCAGATTTCTAGGCTACACTCAGAGGTACTGATTTAGAAGGTCATCTGCTTTCTTTCATCAGTTCCCCAGGAAATTATAAAAGCACAGAGTCTCTAGTTTATACCTTGAGAAAACTGCTACCTAAAATAAAAGACCTGTCTCTCTATTATGGAGATTAACTTCCTTTTTTTTTTTTTTTTTTCTTCTAGCAAGAAACATATTTCAGAGCAGAAAGGAAACTTTAAATCTACTTCATTCTTCTGAACCATCAGTAATTTTAGGCAACCAGTAAGTTATTCTAATGGTAATTATGTGTATCTGTTAAATAGTGATCAAAATTGCTTCTACAGGTTTTTTGTGTTTGTAAATCAAGCCACACTTGATGGCAGTGCAGCTACAAAAGCTGTAAATGCTTTAAGATAACCATATATGAATCCTTTACAAACGTCCCTTAAAATTTTGTTGAATTTCCTTTATGAGAAATTTTAAAGATCTGCAAAGATTATGCATATTGCTTATAAATACGTTTACTACAGAATCTAAAAATTACAATTTGCTCTTATTTCATTTGCTACCAAAAACTCTCCAAGTGTATTTCAGCATAGGAAGTTCCTCATGGTTTCCTTTAATATTTAAGACTCATGCCTGGGGATTTTCTCTGGGAGCCTTTTCCTTATCCCCTTCCTTCCTATGTCTCTTTTTCTTGATAACCAACCTTGTTTCCCTTATCCAAACGCACACATACCCACTTTGTGGGTAAGATACACATTTTTGTCTTTGCCCCTTAGCAGTTGCAAATCGCAGTTTACTCATCTCCAAAATGAGTATTTCTGAGGGAAAACCATGCATTAGGCATCGTGAAGAAATAGACAATTTCACAATTACAATACAAAGGGGTATGCGTTATCAACAAAGTGATTCCTAATAACAGAAACTGTTTTTGGTTTCTTTTTCGGCAGCAAGTTAAAAATAAAATATTAGAGAGCTCAAGAATGCATAGCAAGTACAGCACAGTAATATTTGGGTATGTAGAGATCTGAAGTTGCATAAGCTGCAATACAAGTTGTTTCCGAAAGTAACTTTTAGAGACACTTCAGTAGATCAACAATATATATGCCTGGTACATAACCATCATAGTCTAAGTCAGCTTTTCTCCATCTTGTATTGAAGGGCAAAGGAGTGGTTAGCTAGCACCCACTACTGACCTCATAAATCACAAGACTTCATGTCTGAGACCTACGCATAGATTTGTGGGTGAGGCAACGCCTAAGTTCTGGCCAACCTTACCGTCTTCCTCGTGGGAAAAATGATCACAGGGAAAGAGATGTCAATCATATTCAAAGTTAGTTCTCTAGGAGTATTCTGATTAAATCCAGACCTGGTGAAGGGAGAATATTTACACTGGTGGGTGCTGGACTCAGACAACATCTGAAAGTGACTACTGGGGGCTTTTGAAATTCTAACTGCACTGTATAAAAATCTTTTTACTTGACCCTCTGGGAAAAAGAGCAATGTTGACTTCTTTGTATCTACTCTGACTCATGAAATTTCACACAAATACATTTCAGTGGTATTTTCTATTTTCTAATACCATTTTCATGTTGAAGCCAAAGGGAAAGAAGAAATCTCTTATCTATTTGTTTACTGGAAGGAAACATTCCCTGTTTCCAAAGGAGGACTGCTTATTTCTTTCATAAATACTCAGACCTAAGAATGGATTAATTTACTAGCAGTATATTTTTTGTTTTGTTTTGTTTTAGAGACAGGGCCTCACTGTGTCACCTACGCTGTTGTGCAGTGGCACAGTCATAGCTCACCACAGCCTCGAACTCTGGGCTCAAGTGATCCTTCCATTTTGGCCTCCCAAAGTGCTAGGATAAGGCGTAAGTCACCAACACCTGGCCTAGCAGCATGCTTTTCGAAACATCCTCCTATTTTCTCATTGAAGTCAAATATTTTTATTTTTTAAACAAGTTTAACTCAATATATATTCCTTGCAGACCTACCTCATACCAAGTAGAAGCAACTACAGGCATTCAACAAGGAACAAAATGCAGTCCTGTCCTCAGGGATTCTCAGCACCTTCAGGGCTAGGAGGAGTTAGACATCCTAACACGGCGTGGCAAGTGTCATTCTGTAGGATGAGCAGCACAGTGTTTCGGGAACACCACGGAGCCTGGGAGGCTGGGAAATGCTTCCCAGAGCAGGTGGCAGGTGAACCAGATTTTAAAGTGTTAGCAAGATTTTCCCACCAATGAAAAGAAGGGGAAAGACCTCAGCAAAGGAACCATGAAAAAAGCTATGGGATACACAAGGGAAAGAGTCTTTAGGGAACAAAGATTATTCTGTGGGTCTGAGGTATGAGGGAGAGAGATGTGGAGGGTGGAATGGAGACTAATAAGGACTTCATTAGTCTACGAAGAGAGTTTGAAGTTTATCCTGTATGAGGACAATGTGGAGCCCTGGAGGTTTTAAAGGAGGAGTGTTGTAAGAACCAATTGGTGTTTTCAGGAGGCAAGTGTGATGGCAGACGGAATGACAGAGAAGAGGCTAGGAGCCAGTGAGAGGCATTACAAAGCTCAAGCAAGAGATCTTTCCAATACGTGTCCGCGTGGCTCTGCTTGTGCTCCTGGATGCTTATAAACTCTTTTCTCAATATGTCCTTTAGTTATATCTGAGTTTTTCCCCCTTTGATTACATGCCAATAGAATATATACCTTTTCCTACCCAAAATACAGCAGCTGTGGTTCATAAAATCACATTCCACATGACAGACTGTAAACATTTAGGTAAACACTTAAAAGAATATGTCTTACCTGAACAAAGCTGTTCCACTTTTGTGTAGTTTAAAGATACTATGTCATTAACCCATGCAATGATGTCATGTCTGCTCATAGTCTCTTGGGTTATCGAGGTAGAATACACATTGACTGCCATTCCCCAACTAGAAAAAAACCAAAGAAGTTTATTTACCAACAAGGAAATTAACTCAGAAACACAAAAGATACCTATTCAAAGTCAAGATCCTGGCAGGACTCCAGGGACATAAAAGTCCTGCTCTGGCTAAGCCCTTTAGCTTCTTTTTCTATTTTACATATTTGCATTAAAATTATTAAATTTCACATATTTTTCATGCAGTACCATTTTATATCTCTCCAATTAAATAAAATGTTTTTCAGGTTCTGAGATTCCTAATTTATAACACAATTTAGAGTCTCCCTTTTGACTGTAGGTCTAGGTGTGATATTAAAAAGTTACCTCGTTTGTGGCAGTATACACCAGAGTAATCTGTTAGCTTCATACATTATTTCATAGCACTCACTACAAAGACTTGGAAACGTCAGTGTTTTGCGGTTTGGCCATTCTAGTAGGTGTGTAGTGACAAAGGATTATTTTAAAAATATTTAAACCTGGATGAAAATTTTCCTCAAGGATCTAGAACTAGAAGTACCATATGACCCAGCCATCCCATTACTGGGTATATACCCAAAGGATTATAAATCATGCTGCTATAAAGACACATGCACACGTATGTTTATTGCAGCACTATTCACAATAGCAAAGACTTGGAATCAACCCAAATGTCCGTCAGTGACAGACTGGATTAAGAAAATGTGGCACATATACACCATGGAATACTATGCAGCCATAAAAAAAGATGAGTTAGTGTCCTTTGTAGGGACATGGATGCAGCTGGAAACCATCATTCTCAGCAAACTATAGCAAGAACAGAAAACCAAACACCTCATGTTCTCACTCATAGGTGGGAACTGAACAATGAGATCACTTGGACATGGGAAGGGGAACATCACACACCGGGGCCTATTGTGGGGAGCGGGGAGTGGGGAGGGATGGCACTGGGAGTTATACCTGATATAAATGACGAGTTGATGGGTGCTGATGAGTTGATGGGTGCAGCATGCCAACATGGCACATGTATACATATATAACAAACCTGCACGTTGTGCACATGTAACCTAGAACTTAAAGTATAATTAAAAAAAAAATATTTAAACCTGGATGAAAATTTGCAATTTTACCTAGTTTGTGGAATATATATTGATATATTGTATATATGTATATGCATATATTATAGCTATGTATTAATTTCTATTTTGGAAACTTTCAAATACATGCAAAAGGGGAGAAAAGAGAATAAAAAACCAGTTAGGTTTACCCCTTGGATTCAAGAATTATCAATACTTGACCATCTTGTTTGATTTATACTCCTATCAACTCCCCTTGTGTCAATCCCATCCTAGTCTACAAGCCAGATTATTTTGGAGTAAGTGCCAATCATCACATAATTTCACCTATAAGTGTTTCAGTGTGTCTCTGAAAAATAATTTTTTTAAAAAGCACAATATTATCACACCTAAAAATGAAAATAATTACTTATATCAAATAGGCATTTCAATATATTATAATTCAAATTTAACTTCAGATTGCTTGAATCTGGATTCATATAAGGTTCATACATTATGATTCTTTGATATGTTCTTTAAATTTCTTTATAAGTTTCTTCTCTATTTCTAATCTTTCCTTGCAATTTTAAAAAAAAGTTGTTGAAGGAACTGGGTTGTCTGGAGTTTTCACATTCTGGATTTTTCTCATTGTATCACACTGCTGTGGTTTAAAATGTTTCTCTGTCCTCTGCATCCCTATAGACTGATAATTCCATCTAGAGCCTTGATCTTGTTCAAGTTCTAATGGGATGGGGATTTGATGCCATCTAGCACAACTCTGAGCTTTGACACCTAATCTGCCATCAATACACTGCCTGGTAATGCAAAAGCTTTCCATTACTGCCTGAAGAAGAAACCAGTAGAAAAGCCCATCAGCTGCCAAAGGTTATGCCAGTATATGACAATTACATCAAACAGACTATTTCATGGCATTTTTGAACTTCCATCAGAAGGCATATAACTATAATTTCTGACTGCCCGCTTCCATGATATTGTTAGCTCTGATATTTGCCTAGATCCAATAATTCACTAAAACTTCAAAGTGATATTCTATTATTCATTCTTGATTTATTAGCTGGAATAATTCTACAAAGAGAAATTCCCTCTGAGGTACCCTGAGATACAGGTCATCGAGGAAAGGCAGGAGAGGTGCCTAACTCTTTTTCTCTATTGGCCAGTTTTCAAAGTGATGAGTAGTTCCCTAATATTCCCCAAACATGACCAACCAAGTTTTTGTTCTTATATTTTGAAGTATAATTATGAATCCACGGACTTAAACATATTTGACATGTTTCAGTCCATTGAAATTATACCTTTATTGATAAAAGCTTGCAAGAGCTTATTCAAGCTGGCTTCTGAGTTCTTTTGACACAGTCTTAGTGGTCTTTGATAACCTTCTTCTTTTCCAATATGACAATATGTTCCAAGCCCAACTTATATATTTCTTGCCTCAGATCTAAAACCAGTAATTTCTCCAAGCATTCCTGATTCCTTTTAGTGAAAAATGGTATTTAGAGATACAGAAGTAATATTTTTAAACATGACTAGATATAATAGCAAAATCTATAGTATATAGGTTTTAGACAAAAATCTATATTTTATGAAATAGTTGTGCTTGGAGTTTCTATTTATGCTCATGAAAGCAATAAAAATCTGCTTTCTACCTTAAAGTGCTAAACGAAGGTTTTATCCAGAAATAAATGTAAAAATAAATATCTATCTCTCCATTCCCAGGAGCACCCTTATCTCTAAATTGTTTTCTCGTAAAGATCTGAAAAATCTCACAGCATTAGAATCTCAGATAGTGTGACCATAATTACTGCTTTCTACACCACTATTACAGGTTTTTTACCTTTTGGTTAATAACTTTCCACTGTTTTCTTTAGTCTATCATTTATTAAACAAAACCATTTGCTTTTTAAATCTAGTCAATTTTTTAAATCACCTATGCAAATTATGTATAATCTTAGTAAGGGTAAAAAATTCAAAATCTAAAATATTTTGGACTGATGAAATTACAATATGCTGGCATAACTTTTGGCAGCTGATGGGCTTTTCTAGCGGTTTCTTCTTCAGGCAGTAATGGAAAGCTTCTGCATTACCAGGCAATGTACTGAGGGAGGATATGGTGTCGAGGCCCAGGGTTATGCTAGATGGCACCAAACCAAATTGAGATGAAATTTTTAATCCAAATGATAAAAAAAAAAAAATCTAAATGCAAAGCAGAGAAGACACAAACAGATCTGTGTTTTAGAAAAATAACCCATACGCAAGTGAGTAAAAACGTTCTGTGGCTACATAAGAGAAAGTAATATGCAACAGAAGTACAGGTAGAAGAGTAATGACATCTTTTTAAAAATCCATATGAACAAGGAAGCAAGTCATTTGCTGCAGTTTGTCAATAAATCACACTTTCCTCCAAGTCTTTGTTGATAACATTCACTTAAGGACAACAATTGTCCTTTCATAATGTAAACAGACATTCAGCTCACAAAGGCAAGTCAAGGCACTGTCTGTCTTCAAGTAGTTCATTAAGATGATCAGGTAAACAATGAAAACAGCACCAGATCTGGGCTTTAGAACAATTCTGGGTACTTAGTTACCAGGCACATCACTCAAATCTCCACCATACCCCCTCGCTAGCCAACACAGCTGTAGTCCCCACAAGCCCTGCGGCAGGGGCCACCATGTGTTAAGGGACTTGTGGGATAACTGGTTTAGAAGACAGATTAAATGAACCAGTGAAGGTGAGAAATAAAATAACAACACATTAAATGAGTAGACTTAAATACCTATTTCAAATTAATAGCAACGAAATCAATATAGTTAATTTCTGTTTAACATCCCTGCTGATGGGAATATTCTTATAATCGATCTTCCCCTTTCCAAATTACAGCAAGGTACTTCTAAACCCACTTCACCCTGTGGCTGTCTTTGCTCCCATTGTTTGCCCCCAATCCAAACAAGCCAGCTCTTCTGATTTCAGGCCTGAGAGTTCTTAGTCTGGACTCACTTTCCCTGGAAGGGGAACCGTCCTGAACCTCCCACAAGTTAAGTGTCAGCCAAAGTGGAAAAAGGATTGTATTCCTGCACTACCATTCACCCTTTTGTCTTCCCAATTCTTTCAGCTCCTGCTTTTTCTACAGGTGTGCTTTCCATATAGTCAAACCTAAATGATACAAGTGGCTAAAACATTCACAGAAGAACATTTATATATTTTTTCCAAATGTTAAACTCAGGTGAGAGAGTATTAAATTGTTCTAGTCCCTAGGTGGATACATTCTAAAATCCTAAGATTTCATTATGATTTCTGTGGTCTCAATCTATATGACAATATAAAGGTAAAAGTACTTGTCCCTACCTAGTCTGCAGAAACGCTGCGTGGATAACACAAGGAAATTTTATATCTTTTTACAGATAAAGCGGTTCTATTGACCCTTGGAAGAATCCTGGGAGGAAAGCAGGGCAGGAATCATACTCTTCCCTTAGCCACAAACGTGGACACAAACTTCAGTCCAGGACTGCTAGTCCTTAAGGATATTACCAATTACATCAACATCCTAAGGAAGGTAGGAATTATACAATTCAAAAGGCTAATTTTTAATTCATGGAGTACTTCCCAAAGACTCAGTCAAGAAAGATAAATGGTTATGAAAGGTAAGGTTATACTAATTATTACAGAACAAGGAGCAACTCACTGTGCAGGGTTTATTCTCATGTTTGGATCTTCAGCATGTCTGTTACATGGAAACAACATTTTATTCTTAGGTGACTTGCCATATGGCCTCTGGGACACGAGCATCTCTCTGTCCTGTCCTTACAAAGGAGAAACTATCTCCCACTTTGTGGCTTTCAATTGGAATCTCAGCCAGATCACTGTTGTTTAAGATCTGGTCAGTGCAAGCCGGGCGCGGTGGCTCATACCTGGTATCCAGCACTTTTGGAGGCCAAGGTGGGTGGATCACCTGAGGTCAGGAGT